GTTGCACGTGAATGCGTCAATCGGCGAGGTGCCGGCGAGGGGGCTGTAGAGGAACTCGGGGAACTCCATATTCAGCAGCATCGCGACCGCTTCGGGCTTCGGGCCTTTTCGAGCACTAGCCGGCCTACAGCCCCACGGCGGGGCGCGGCGCGGCACGGCACGGCCACAACAAGGAGATTTATATTCGCGTTCGGGTTGGGGTTGGCCGAGGGGTGGGAAGAGGGGGGGGGGCGTGCATGAGGCTCGTTATTTAGAAAGCGACGCTTCGCATGTTCGCGGAGACGGGGCGGAGGGAGGAGAAGGGGTTGCAGCGCGGCGGCGCGGCGGGCCAAGTGGCAGCCACGCCAGATTATGCCAGAAACACAAGAAAGGAGCCTTTTTCTGGATTCGCGGCCCCGCTTTCGTTTAGCAGTGCCGTGCGCGCCGCGCGCCCGCGACAAGGACATGCTTACACTAGCACGTGCAGCCGCGTCGACGGCGATGCGCGCATTCGGCGCGGCTTACAGCCGTACAGGCCGTACGGGCCGTTTTAAGGCCAACACGTGCGGATAATACGCCCCGGAATGGCGCGCGCCGGGATGGCGCAGCATGGCGTGCTCTGGCACCCGGGCCTGCCGCGCCGCCACTACCGCCATGATGGCGGGTCATGTGTGTAACCTGGCAGCCGCGGAGCCGGGCCGGGCCGCCGGGCAGCGCGCCAAACGCACGCCCTCCCTTCGGCTGCCTGACTGAGGGCTGCATCCGAACTTCCCAACGTCGCTCTCGTCGCTGTCTCTCCTCCACTCGAAGGGCGTGCCGAAGGACGCCGCAGGGGTCAGAGAGAGAGACGCAGCTCGGAATGAGTGCTTTCGTCCCTTCGGCCCGTGTTCTTGTTAGGCCCGTCAGGAAGGTCGCGTCGCGATGGAGGCGACAGGTTTTAGAGTGGCGTGGCCCTTTCCCCGCTCGGCTGACGGTGAGTCCCTCGCCCCGGCCTCTTGGTGTGCAATTAACCCTTTCGCAACCCGCGCACCGCGCACCGCTCGCCGCGCTCGCCGCCACCGGGTAATTTTTGCGTCTCCTCGGGATATCTGGCGATATCTCGCGTTTGCCATGCAACGCGTGTGTGTCTTTATAGGACGTGTGTGTTGGTGTGTGTGTGTGCCGGTGCGCGCAGGGTGTTTGGTAGGGGACTAAGGCGTCGCCGAGAAGGGGCCCCCGTATCGGGCCTCGCCATCGCCTACTACTGGTGGGGAAAGGGGCTCATTGTCACGAACCAACACCTCGCCGTGGCGTGCCGTGGCGTGGCGTGCCATGCCGTGGCGTGCGGCGCGGGGTCCACCCTTTACCGGGACTCTGGCTTGGCCGGCCGGCCGGTCGCTCGGGCCATCATAAATCGGTTCGGCCGGGCCGCCCCGCCCCGCCCCGCCCGGGGGAAACACGGCGAAAAGTCGGCCTATCCGTTGCGTTGCCTGCCCCGCCCCGCGGTGCCGCACAATCTAGGACATTCGACGATGATGACGACGATGATAGCGGGCCGGGCCAAACAACGCGCGGTTTGTTTGTCCGCTCGCTGTCTCTGTCCCTCTCGCACAGCGCGCCCCACCCGTGCGAGAGAGACAGGACGACCAAGCGCTCGCGGTGCCCCCGAACGCGGCGCGGGTCCGACTGACAGTGCAGGCGGCAGGCCGGCCTTGGCGACGTACTAACGGCCTCGCTGCTCTGTGTGCTGGCCGCCACCGTCCACGGCATGGCGGTGGCGGCACGGCGGTCAGCACGGCGGCGCCGTAAAAGCAGTGTCCACACTACAGTGGCGCGCTGGCGCTGCAAAAAGGGACTGGGGGGGACGTCGTATCACACGCTAATTAGGCGCGACAGATGACAATTTGCCGCTATCTGATGGCCGCGCGGTCGCACGGCGTGGCTCGGCGCGGCTCGGCGCGTCCGGGCCGCGCGCAGCGGATGCTCTTTACTTTTAATGATACCTGTCGGGGGCGGAGTGGCGGACTGGCCAAAGGGTAATCCAGAGCGCCGTGTCGCCCGTCTATAAAAAGCGCTTCACGGTGACAGCCCCCGTGCCGCCTGCCTGCCTGCCTGCCTGCCCCGTCTGTCCCGCCTTTCAGCGGCCCTGCCCGGGATGTGCTTCAAGAACCACCCACGTTCACGTTGCCGGTCGGCCGGCCCCCGTTGGTCCGAGCGCGGAGGCCGTCCTGCAGTACCCACTACTAGTCGCGGTGGCCGCGGAGGCCGCGCGCACCGCGCACGCGGACAGTCACGTGAGGTGCACGCCGACATAATGCCCCGCGAGCACGCCAAGCGCACCAGCGCGCCGATGGACATGTCAGCGACGTGTCCGCGCGGCCGCGCCGTGTCAGCACGTCGTTTTATGGCCCGGCCGGCCCGCTTGTTGCTTGTTGGCAGTTTGTTTTGCGCTGGAAAACGGACGAAAACGGAAACGGACCTACTCCTCCGGGGAGATTGTCTCTCTCCCCCGATAAATCGATGTGCCCCGCTATACGCCCGCCACGCCGTGAAGTGCTGCAGGCAGCTCGGGGTGTATTTGCTTATTCCTCCAGGACCCTAATCCCACCCCGGGGCGCGGCGCGCGCTCTCTCACCCACTCACTCACACGGTCGCACTGACGCTCTCTCTCTCTCTCTGTCACACACACACACACACACACACACACACACACACACACACACACACACACACACACACACACACACACACACACACACACAGTGGGGAGGCGAACGTGAACGTGTCGAGAAATTAGGCCGATTCCTCGATAAGTAGCTCACGCGGTTTGACCGCCCATCTGTCTGTGTGTGCGTGTGCGTCTGTGTGCGTGCGCCTGTGTTTCGGGGGGAGGGGGGGGAAGGGGTGTCCCGGCGACGCCCCCTTCACCGCCCATTCCTTGTCGCTGGAATTGCGGACGCGGCCGGAAGAAGGACTAGACGACCGCCCCGCCCCGCCCCGCCCCGCCCAGCTCGGCTAATGTCCGGCAGATGGATGGCAGCTGGGCACCACTACCGCCACCACCGCGGCAGCGAATCATTTTTATTTTATTTTTTTTATTCTTTGCGTTGGCGGCTCTGCGCCGCTCTGGCGGAGGGGCGGGGCCTGGCGGGGCCCGGCGTCTTGCACCTAGACTAATGCACGCCGCCGACATGGTGATGGAGATCGATCAATCGGCGCGGTGCGGCGCGGCGCCTGCGACCAGGCTGGCCCAGTCAGGCTGGCACAAAAAATAAAAAGTGCAGCCGGTGTGTGCCTAGAAGCACACGAACGGCCATCGCGGCCTGGAAAAAGGAAGGCAGCGTCTGGGCCGCTGATTGGCAGGGTCCGATATGGCTGCGGCTGGCTGCCCCTCCACTGTATCTCTCTCTCGCCCTCGCGGCGCGCCCCGGCAGTGCGAGGGAGACGGGGCGAGGCCGGCGAGGCCTATGCAGACAAATGGCTACAGGCCGGCGAGCGTGTCCGCCAATTATTTGGGCCGGAGGAGGCGGCGCAGAGCGGCGCAGCGGAGTGGCGGCGACAAATTGCGGCGTCGCGTCCGCGCCACTTGCACCGGGACAAATGTTCGACAGCGCGCTGAGTTACGCCGAGTCTCTGTGTGTGTGTGTGTGATTGCTTTAATTAACCTCAGACACGTGTACCGCTCGTGTCGCCTCATTTTTCCGCGCGGCGGCGCGAGCGCGCGCGTCTTTGACAAGATCAGAGTACCATCGATGCTCGCCATTTTGCCCGCCGTCAATTGCGAAGGCAGGCTGCATGTTTGGCCGCGTGTGTGTGTGTGTTGTCCGGCAGACGGTGTGCGTAATGTATGCATCGCGAGGCGAGAGGCCATGCGCGCCGTGCGGCAGCGTGCGGTAGACGATAAGGCGTCCGGAGCGCGGCGCGTGGACGCTGCGGATATGGATGCAACCCCCCCCCCCCCCCTTTTTCCATCCCTGGAGACTCCAGTCAATGAACATGAATGAACCTGGAGCGGCCGCTGAATGATGCGTCCGGAGTGGCGGAGGAGAGGGTGGCACATCTCTGTCTCGCTCTCTCCGGGTCCGGTTCCGTCATCTCTGTCTCGCTCTCTCCGCCGGTCCGGTTCCGTCATCTCTGTCTCGCTCTCGCCGGGTCCGGTTCCAGTGAATGAAAAGCGTACGGGGCCGAGTGTGTGTGAGTGTGCAAGCATCGCATGTGTGTGTGTGTGTGCTGCATTTGCATCGGCTTGTTTTGAATGATGAATGCACATCTTTCCCCCTTTCTCTTCCTTCTCCCGTTCGTTTCTTCTGTTCACCGGGTAGTTAGGGAAGACGAAATCCCGCTCTCCGGGACTCCAGGTCGTCCGTCCCTACTCGGTCGGGCTGGAGCCACCTGGAACCTGGAACAGTCCCCTGGAGCCCCGACCGTAGCCCGGTGTCGCCTGCCTGCCTGCCTGCCTGCCTGCCTGCCTGCCTGCTGACTCCGCAGGCGACTCTGTATAAATAAACACCAACGCCATATTTCATATTTGTGTCATGCTTTACAGGGCGTTTATTTTATTTTCATATATCCATCGCTCGCCATGAGGGGGGAAAACAGTAAAAATATTTGTTGTGCAGCCTCCTTTTTATATCTTTGTTCTGGTCCGTGCCATCCATACCATACGATCGCGCGCGACCGCGCTTCACCCGTCTCCTTCGTTTTATTCGGTTCGTTCGTCGCTCGCTGCCCGCTGGCCGGCCGGGCGCGTGTTTTAAAGACTGGGGAAGGAAATATTTTGTCGTTGCTTGTCTTGTGCGTGGCCGCCTGGCAGTCCGCGGCGCTGGAGGCTGCCGGGATGCCGCGTGGCGGGGGGCAGGGCAGGGTGCCCGTCGACCGGCCCCTGGGCTGGGCCCCTCGCCCGGCCCGCTCCAGCTATTGTCCCTCGTTTTTATGGCCGAATCTTCATTGATTTATCCCCGTTGGCCTCGCACGGCGAGGGCTGCGTGGGCGAGGGCTGCAGCCTGACCAGCTTGCTGACCAGCTTCTTGTCGTTGTTGCAGGTACGGCGCGGGCTACGACCTGGCGGCCCGGCGGAAGAACGCGACCCGGGAGTCGACGGCCACCCTCAAGGCGTGGCTCAGCGAGCACAAGAAGAACCCGTACCCGACCAAGGGCGAGAAGATCATGCTGGCCATCATCACCAAGATGACGCTGACGCAGGTGTCGACGTGGTTCGCCAACGCGCGGCGGCGCCTCAAGAAGGAGAACAAGATGACGTGGGAGCCGAAGAACAAGACGGACGACGACGAGGACGCCGTCGTGAGCGACAGCGACGACAACTGCACGGGCAGCCAGCGCGACAAGGACGAGCAGATGCTGCTGCACCAGCGCGACGCGGACAAGGAGCACCGCGACCTCCGCGAGCACCGGGACCACCGCGACAAAGGTAAGCAGTGGCCCGACGAGACGCGGCGCGGCGGCAATCCCGTTTGCGCCGGGTGGGGCTTCGCACTGCTTTGCCGCCGTCTCTCTCGCACTCGCGGGCCGCCCCGCGTGGCCCCGCTGGGGTGGGACAGAGACGCGAGACGACAGTTGGAAACCGCCACGGGCGCGCGGCCCGTTTGGGCCCGTTTGAGCCGCTGGGCCGTTCAGCCTGTTACGAGCGCTTTGTCGTGTTTGTTTGACACGCCGCGGAACCGGCGTGACGCCCCTCGGTCGATGCAGCACGCCGAGCACGCCGTCGTCCTCGCGGTGCATCGCGTCGCGTGGCCACTCGCGTGCGCGCCGCCACGCCGCGATACAGCCGCGCAACGGGACGCACGCGGCACGCGGCTATTAGGCCCAGCCTCGCGTGCGTGGCGGGCAGCGCGCCGCACGCCCGGGAATCTATGCCGCCGCGTTCGGCGGTTCGGCGCGGATTCGGCCGCCTTGGCCAGCACATTGATTCCCCTCTCTCTCGCTCTCGCGGGGCGTCCCGCCCAGGTGCGAGAGAGTCGGAGCGGTGGGACTTCCCTATCGGGGCGCCGCGCGATACGCAGCGTTGACTGGGCGCGGCCAGAAGACGCGCGCGCGTGCTCACTCACACACCCGCGCTCTCTCTCACACACGCGTGGACTTTTACACGCGCCTGGGCCGTAAGTCACCTGCTGGCCTGCCCTGCCCCGGCCGGCTCGTGAAATATTAAGATATTTCGAGCGCGTGGCGCGCCGTGGTGTGTGTGTGCATACGTAATGTTCGTACGTATATATTAGGCGAGTGACAGTGCCTCGTGGACTTGTGGACCATCACATATCATTACAACGCCCGGCCTGCGTGGCAGCGTGGCTGGCCCCGGCCGGGCCGGGCCGGCCGCTAGGTCCCCACAGCTCCTCGCCGGCCCAGCGGGTAGCTCCGGACTGGCTGCTGGCTGCCCCTTGGGCTGCCTCTGCTGCTGGCTTCGCTCCGCGCCGTTCGTTTTCTCCAGCTGGACACGGCCGCGCTATTCGGAATCCACCACACTGGCTGGCGATGCCTTATGCGGCGGCGGGAGGGGGCGGTGGCAGTGTGGCGGCGCTGCCGTGCGTCGGGCAGCTCCTCGGTCGGTCACGCCCAAACTAGAGTCCGGCCAGCGTCTCTAGAGGAAAGAAAGAAAAAACAAAACATTAGAAAAAGAAAAAAAGACGTCCGTCGACCACAGGTGGGGGTTGAACCCGCGGGCCTGACCGGGCTGGCCGGCCGGGCGTGGCGCGGCGTGTCAGCGGGGTGCGTGGAGTGAGCTGGAGAGTGAGGTGGATGGCGATGCTCAGGGGGCATTTGTCATGTCGGTCTGGACGCGAACATAAATAACCCACTGGTTCCGGACACTTAATGTTCTGAAAATTCGACGCGCGCCAGATTATTCCTGCAACACACACACACACACACACACACACACACACACACACACACACACACACACACACACACACACACACACAAACACACACACTGAGGCGCGCGCATCCACCTGTCGTCCGGCCGATGCGTGGAGGATACTCGTCGTTTTTCCCTCGCTGGCTCGGCGGGCCGCGGGGGATGACGGATTCCCGCAAGACGAATGGACGTACTGTTTGCGCTCGCGTCCCCCGGTCGGCCGGCCGGCCGGTCCGTGCGATCCGGCGCGGACGTATACCGGCAGTGTTCGGATACTGGTTCGGCGGCGCCCCGTAGATTTATTTGTATTTTTTTGTGGTGACTGGGTTGCGTGGGAAGGTGGTGTAAGCGCGGCCGGAGCGGCGCCGGCCCGGCGAAATATGCCCGTCACGGCGAGTGCGGGCCGCGCACGGCCGCGCCGCGGGGGTGAGTCTGTCTGACTGAATGGACGTTTCGTGGGAGAGGAATGAGGGATTGCTCGGCGTGGGGCGGGGCGGAGCGCCCGCTCGGATTCACCGTGCCATAAGCTATCTGACAGGCGGGGTCAACAGATTGACACGAACACGAGGGACATGATGTCTGCTCTGGCGCCCCCCTCCGGGCCCCCGCCCCGCCTCCGGCCGCCCAGCCGAGGCTGGCAGCCAGGCAGCCGCAGCCCCCCCGCGGGCCGGCCGCCACGCGCGGCCCCTCGCTGCCCCTCGCTGCCCTCTGCCCGGCCGGGACTAATAAATGGGGCTCGAGCACAAACACGTGCGGAGGTGAGTCAGGCGCGCGCCGTGCCGAGCGCCGTGCACCGTGCACTTGTGCCCGGCCTGAATGTTTCAGCAGCTGGCCGGCGAGGGAAGGGAAGGGAAGGGCTCTGCCGGCGCGCGGCTTCTAGGCACGGCGTGGGCCGGCAAGGCAAGGCAAGGCAAGGGGGCTGCACATAATTAAACATTGTCCCTACAGGGCACCGGCCGGGGCACTGGGAAATGACGTATTTATCGGGAGCAGGCCGAGCAGGCCGTGACGCCGCACGCCGCGCATCCCGCGTCCGGGAATGCCGGACGGCGGTGCCGAGTATAAACGGCCTTGGCGGGCACGGCCTCTGCCGTGATTAGCGCCGTCCAGCACACCGAGGCCGTCGTCTAGGCCGACCGTCCCTCTTCTCGCGTGGACCTTCCCATTCTATTCCATTCCCTTCCATGCCGAGATGACTCACTAGCCACGTGGGATTCCTCTCATTGAAATACGCGCCGCCCGGACACACACACACACTCACAGACACACACGCACCCAGTGGCGTGGCGTTCGAAACGGGGCCCTTATTAATTCGAACGGCCGCTCTAGCGGGAGGCTGACAGGAATTGCTCCATTAGATGCCGTGGCGGCGTGCCGGCCGGGCCCTGCCGCAGGTGTGGGCGATGGGTCGGCCGCTAGCGCCACGCTGCGCGGCCCACGGACCTCGGCACGGACCTCGGCCCACGGGCCGCAGGGCGTCCACCTCGACACCGCGGTTCAAACTTACGGCGTGGCGTGCTGCCCTGGCGCCGCGCGCCGTCAGGAAAGTGACTGGAGGCCGCCGTCAACGACGCGCCCGCCTGCCCCGCCCCGCCCCGGCCCGACGGCAACCCCTTCACTCTTAATTACCTCTCAAAGCAGCCCGTCGCCCGACAGAAAGGAGGGCAATCTGGCGAAAAAGGGCGGAAGGGAGCGCGCCGCCGCCGTCGAGGCCGCCGTCGCCACTCGGCGAGCTAACATCCTGGGGAGGGTCTCGCAGGCGCGCAACACGGTGCCGCTAAGTAAGGACGATCCGTCACGTGCTGGTGTATCACCGGCCGGCCGTCGATCGCATAGCGCCTGCCGGCCCGTAGCGTAGGCCGCCCGCCGCGGTGCGGAGCCCAGCGGATTGCCTATCGTGAGTTCGCAGGGGCTCGTGGCTCGGCCCGCGCGACGACGGAGTGCACCGGGTTGCCTACCGCCGGTTCGCAGGGGCTCGACGCGCTGCCTCCACGCACTCGGCGTGTGGGAGCGGCGGCAGGCGGTCGCGCCGCGCCGCGCTGCGCTCCGCGGAAGCTAAGTGCACCCTCCGTAATCCGCTGGCGAGATCCATTTAGCCGCTGCCAAGTCGCGGCCTCGCGGCCCTCTCCGGCGGCCCGCTATCACGCCACGATCTCGGCGTGCGTCTTTAGCGATCCGCTGCAGCCGGGCGCGCGGCAGTGCGCCAGCCGGCCCTCGAGGGAGGGAGGCTCGGAGGGTGTGGGCCCCGTGGGCGTGGGAGGAGGAGGTGATGATTCGTGAGAGAGGCCCGCGGGGCCGGGCTGAGGTTGAGGGTGCCTGCCTGTGGGGGAGGCCGTGGAGGCCGGCGTCGAGGTGGCTGCGCGTTGGCGAGGAGGGGTGGGAATGCGGCCCGGCTTGCCGGGGGAGGCCGCGGCGTCGGCGCCAGGTTGCCGGGGAACTTCATCTACCGGGCGTTGCAGTTTTGGTACCTGGTGCTTCCTGCACGTCGATGAAAATGTTTAAATTTGCGGCGGCGGTTTTCCTCGTCGGCGGACCGCTTGCCGCGCCGCTCGCACCCCGAGGAGGCCTGCGCCGTGGTCTGCGCCCTCCCCGCGGCAGCGGAGCGCGTCGAATGCGCGCCGGGGAGTCGCGCTGGCAGTGCCTCGCGGTGCCTGGGGTCCCACGCGGCACTGCACTGCACAGAAGAACGCCCTCGCCTCTCATTCTCATCAACAAGTGTTGGCAGTAATCGTGAGGCCGCCGCCGTGATCCGCGCGCCGGATAGACGAGATTTATTTGTTTGCCTTTCTCTCCCCTCTTTTCGCATTCGCGCTGGCCGGCTGGACCGAGTCCGATCGGCCGGCAGCCCTCGGCGAGCCCTTGGCAGTGTCGGCGCGGCGGAAACTCGAGACAAAGTTGTGCAACGTCGAGCTGCCCGGACTGGCCGCAGCCCGCAGCCCGGAGAGGAAAAGATCCCGCCCGTGTCCAAACATCCTCTAATTGAACGTCACTTCGGCGGGCCGGGGCGCCCCCTCCCCCTCGGGGGCCGCTGGCGCGCTGGCGCTCTAGCCTCGCGCCAGGCCGCGTCGCCGCGTCGCCGCGTCACGATACGCCGCCCGTAAAAGCGATTCCGGCCCTAAAAGCGTGCAGTCATAATTCATCGGAAACGGAATGAAACAGCGATACGGATCTGCAGTCGTGTTTACTCGCGGCAGGGAAAGCTCGGCGGCGGAGGGGAGGGGAGGGGGTTAGTGTTCTGATACGAGATAAACGGGCGCTTATTGAAATAAGCGGCCTCCGACCCCGGGAAGGCGGCGACCCCCAGCGGGAGCCTCGCCGTGCCCCGGAGGACCCCAAGGAGCCCTGCAGGCCCCGAGGGCGCCCGAGGGCCCTGGGAGAGGAGGCGGTCCCGTGGGCGGGCCGACCACGCGCCCCCTGGGGCCCTGGGGCCGCCGAGGGACGGCACGGCAACCCTTTCTCGTATCGCCTCCATGATAATTCTTCTTATCGCCGTGGCCGTGCCTCCAGCCCCCGCGGGGCCCCTCGCCTCGGAGACACACTGCGATAAGCACGCGAATCCGCCGGAAGGTGCCCGTTGATCGAGCGTCGCGGGTTCGAATACCGGCGAAGGTGTGGTGCGGTGGGGTTGACACCCTGGTTATTGATCGTGATTTCCAACGGTGCTTCTGTCTCCCTCGCACTCGCGGGCCGAGAGGCCGAACCGCAGGGGTGCGAGAGAGACGGCGAGACGGCCCGCAGGCCCGCTCCCTCTCTATTACAGCCGTAATGAAATCACTCAGGCTGCACCCTCTGGCCTTGGCCGCCCCGCCGTTACTTAAGCTGCTCTTACCAAACAGCAGCTATTTAGCGCCAGGCAGCGCCAGGCGGGGTGGGGGTGGGACTCGGAGCTCGTTTAATCATTAGGTGCACCCCAGCCTCCGCCTCGGCCGCCTCGCCCCCGCCTCGCTATTGGTGTAAAAGTCGACGGGATTACCGGGTCGGCGGAGAGGAGAGGTCTCGGGTCTTCATTACTTCGGCGCGGTGCTCTGGCGCGGACGCCACCGCACACCTTGCTCGGCGCGGCGCCGCGGGCTGCTGCTATACGCATTGCTCGGCATTGCTCGGCGTGTCGACTGGAGCAGCGACACAATGGCGGACAAATCATTTCCTCGGGAAACGCGGAACGCGGGGGGGAAAGCCACCGCGGGAAAAGCCAACAACACAACTCCCCATTGAATTGAATGAAAATAAAAGCAAACTGGCGCCTTTTGGCGCTGCCCCGCTCCACCGCCGCTCCGCCGCGCGGGACGTGAATGGGGCCGCGCCGCTCCCTCCATGATACATCACTGCTTCAACACGTTGTAGCATATTCACCCCTCGCCTCTTCTTCTCGGCGCGTTTTCCGTTCTCCGCGCCAGATCTGCTCTCAATCTTTTCTCCCTTGGCTCGCTTACTCCTTCCCCGCTCCTTCGTCGTCGCCGTGCTCCCTCGCCGCCGGGATCCGGCTTCCTTCCTTCCTTCCCCCGTTCCATCAGCGTCCGCGACGTGCCCGCCGAGCCCGACCGCCCCGCGCGCCGCCGCGATTTTGAGAATGTTTCACCCCCTGGCCGGGACGCCGGGAGGGAGGGTCCGTTCCGGAACAGGCCATTCTCCGCACTCGAAAAAGAATGACCATTGTAAAATTTAGCGACCGCTTTGGCGGGCTTTCGGCGGGGTGGGGCGCTGAGTGGGAGGAAGTCGATCGGAACCGCCCCATCGGGGCGCTGTCCGAACAACCCCTTGGAAGTGTGCCTCGCCGTGCCTCGCCGTGCCTCGCCGTGCCTCGCCACCGCATTTCCGACCAGGCGGGTCGCCAAGACCCACCCCGCCCCGTGACGGGAGCGTGCCGGCGGCTGGGGCTCCAGCGAGACTCCGCTCCAGCGAGGCTGCAGCGCTGCTGGGGAGGGAAAAGCAATAAACGCGAGGCGAGGGGCTGGCTGGCCGGCGGGGCGGCGGGGCAGGGCACCCTGGGCGGAATCTCAACGACCGCGGTCCGCGCAGGAAACCGAAACCGAGACTTAGTTTAACAGTGGGCCGCCCCGGACTTCCTTTCCCCTCCACTCGGAATTTGCATTCCGCGGCGGATTTTTACGACCTTGTTGCGGCAGGGTGGAGTAGTGCGGCCGAATAAGTGTGTTTGTGTGTGTTGCAGACGGCCTGCACATGGTCAAGTCGGAGCAGAGCAAGCTGGACCTGGACGAGGAGGACGACGACCTGGATGACATGGACGAGCGCAAGTACCACATGCAGCACGCCTACCACCACCCGCTGCAGGGCATGCCGGGCATGCCGCACGGGCTGATGCTCAAGGACGAGCCGGGCGTGCCTCTGCCCGCCACCAAGCCCAAGATCTGGTCGCTGGCGGACACGGCGGCCTGCAAGACCCCGCCCCCGCCGCCGCCGGGCAGTGGCCAGCCCTGGCCCAGCTCGTGCGCCGGCCCCGGCGGCGACCCCGGCGGCGGTATGGGCATGGCCATGAACGGGTTCGCGCTGCCCACCGCCTCCATGTCGCCATCCGCGGCCGCCCCCGCGCCCTACTCGCGGTACGGCGGTGGCGGCGGCGGCGGCTTCTTCGGGGGCGGCTCCTACAGTGGTGGCCACCCCGGCGGCGGCGCGCTCGGCGGCGGTGCGTGCGCGGGACAAGGCTTTCCCGACGTGCAGACGGACACCCCGCCGCAGACGCCGCCCAACATGAAGCTGCCCAGCGTCGCCGGCAGCCTCAACTGCTTCCAGGGCAACCAGAACCCCAACCTGCAGGGCCAGCAAGGCCAGCAGGGCCCCCAGGGCGCTCCCTACCAGCAGCAGCAGCACTACATGCAGACGACGAGCCCCAACAACTACAGCAGGTTACAGCACCCGCAGCAGCAGCAACAACACCCCCACCAAATGCAGCAGCAGCAGCACCAGCACATGCAGCAGATGCAGCAGCAGCAACAACCCCCGCAGATGCAGGAGATGTCCCCCGTGAAGGAGAGGTCGCCGATGCACTCGGGGGACGAGGGCACGGTGTCGCCGTACCTGCAGCACCCCCAGCAGCAGCACATGCAGCAGCAGCAGCAGCACCTCATGATGAATGGCAGCGCCGGAGCCACGCCTAGTCCCAACGAGAGCACCGCGTTCAAGCCCTTCTACAAAAGGTGAGTCCACTTTTATTCCTAACTTCTTTCCCGACTCGTTCGGCGCTAATTAATGGGCGTTCCCGTTGATTTCGTCCCGTTTTGTCACACGGCCTTTGTCGCGCTGTCTCGCTCGCACCCGCTCGGAGGGCCCGGAGCGGGCCGTGAGTGCGAGAGAGACGGGGCGCACGTGCCCGGGGTGCCCGCCGGGACCACTCGCCTCGTTTATTAGGCTCATTTCGTCCGGCGAGCGGGCCGCGGGCCACGTCCAAGTCGGTCCCCGAGTCCCCACGGGTCCCGCAGGTGCGACGCGCGGCGGGGCGGGGCGTGGTGGCCCCCCGGAGATTTCTCCGCGATACAAATAAATTTATTAGTAGAACACGGCGGAGGAATGCCCCCGAGTTGACCGCAGTGTACCCCGTCACAATACGCCCGGCACTACGAACCCCATTCATTCATTCGTTCATTCGCCGGTTCATCCATTCATTCATTCCCTGTTCCGAGAGGCTGAGGCTCGCTGCATTTGAAAGGATAACATCTAATTGTTGCATTGATATTGTTCCAGTTCCCCAACAATGGGCGGCGGCTTCGTGTCGCCCGTCTAGCGGCGTGGCAGCGCCGCAGTGCTGGCCAGTCCCAGTACTGCCCCGCCATGCATCCTGGCTGTGAGCCTCCGGGGCGGGCCGTAGGGCGGGCCGTGGACAGGCCGCAGGGCCTGGAGGAGGAGCCCCCTAGCCGCCTCGGAGGCGCCCCGCGGGCGTCCACGCCGCAGGCCGCAGCCGCACCGCGCCCCGCGCGACGCCGTCTCCGCCGACAGCGCCGACCACCTGGACAACGCCAGGACGGCGCCGGCCCGGCACAGCGGCGCTCGACCGTCTTGCTGGTGAGTATGACGCCGAGGTCCATGGTTGCCGCAGGTTCACCCTTGTTAGGTGCATCCGACTACACACCCCCAAAAGCCGAGGGACGACACTGGACAGTGCGAGATCGGCGCGATGTGTGGCGCTCCGTCCGCGCCTGGCCTCCGTGGGTATAGTCGGACGCACCTAACACCCCGGCTGCAGGCGAGGCCAAATTAGCGTCAAATTAATTAGGAGCAATCGGAGATTTGGCGCGACGACACGACGGCGAGGATTGTGCCACCTGGCCGGCTGGCTGGAACAGAGTACCGCGGTGCCTGGCCGCCGAGCGCGGTGCGCGGTGCACGAAGCAGTCGAGCGCCAAATCGCCGGAATCGCGGGGAGGGCCGCGCCGGCCCGCCAGCAGGCAGGCAGCAGCCAGTCAGGCGGAGCAGGCAGCCAGCAGGCAGCCGGGACCCATTTTGCTCCGATAGGCATCGCCAATAAACGTGCATCCAACGGCCTCCAAAAGCGCGGTTCAATCCCCGGCTCGCGTGTTAGCACTGCCGGCACGCCAATTCCCCATTTTCCCTTTATTTATTCTTTTTCCGGCCGTGCTTTTGGCGGGGAGCACAAGGAGGCCGTCTGGTGGGTGTGAATTTGTGGGATATGCCTGGCGGCGCGGCTGGCGGCGTGGCCTCCGTTTCGGCGCCACTCCGGACCCTGACTGGGCTGACCTCGCAGGCCTGGCAGGCCGAGCGGGAAAGGGGTGCCATGCATCATGCTCGCTCTTGATCCCGCTTTCATTTTTGCCATAAATAAGGGCCACTCTGCGCGCGTGCGTCGGCGGGGCGGCGCGGCGGCGCGGCAGTGGGGTGCTCGGAGGAGGCGGCGACGCGCGCGCATTGTGCGCTCAGTGTTTTGCTCCGCCAGCACCTCGACAAGGCCGTCGCGCTGCCAATTAGGGCTGGTGGCACTGCGGTGCGCGTCGCACTGCGCGCTTTCCGCCCCGCGCACCGAGTCCGAAAAGCGGAGCGAGAGTCCCGGTAGAGTCCCGGCCGGCCAGCCGTGCGGCCCTGCCCCGAGTGTCGTTCAGAGTGGTCACCTGAAAGTGAAGCAGTGAAGATGTTATCAGCACAGCATCCGCTCGGGCCCGTCCCGTCGTCCACCCGGCCCGGGTCAGGGCGAGGCGGGGCGGGGCGGGGCGGGGGGCCCCAGCTCAAGAACAAAAGGACGAAAGGCTCCGACCGGCCGGCCAACGAAACCTGATTTGCGTCCGAGATTCACGTCGGACCGTCGCCGTCCCGATACCCCATTCATTCCTCCATTCATTTTGTGCCCCCTCCACCACGGCCCCGGCCTCGGTCGCCTCGACCTGCCTCGGCCGCGAGGCCCTTCGCGTCGCGTGCAAGTATCGCTGTCTCGCCGATCCACTAGTGTACGCGCCGTGCACCGGTCGGGCGGACGCGAAGAACGGGCCGAAGAGCGCGCCGGGAAACTTGGCCTTTTCCGCGCATAAATCGTGTCGGTGTGCGCGACAACGCCCCCGGGGGGCCGAGCGGGGCGCGCCGGGGGCAGGCCAGGGGCAGGCCGGGGGCCGTAAGGCACCGGACTGGCCAAATAACGCATGAGCCAGGCCAAGGCGCAAGGGCCGAGCGGGCGGCCTCGGTGCATACCTTCGGCCTGCCTTTGGCTCGGCTGGCCCCTTCCCGACTACGTCCCGACCGCAGACTGTCCGGCCGCCGCATTCCCGTCGAGAACCGCACCGCGCCACCCTGCCGGCCCTGCCGCCCGCACCCCGCCATAAAATGGCACATTACGCGGCGCAAAAAAGGGCTTCGGAAACGCGCTCACTTCATTCACAATCACCAGCCGCCTTTCGCCGCACCGCCACGCCGCCCTGCCGCCCGACGAGAAGGGGGTTATTAACAGCAATGGCCGCGGGGTTATGACTGTTTACTTTGGGCGAAATAAGCAGCGCTAAAAAAGGGCGGTCCGAAACGGGCGGGCCGTGTGGGCGGCAACAGGTGTGGCTTGCCCTCTGCGGGGCGTGAGCAGTGCGCGGCGCGGTGCCCGGGCTGCGGCTGTGCCGTGGATGTGCCCCTCTGCCCCGCTCGGTGACCAACGTAAAGAACCACTTCCGCTGGCCGGCGGGGCCCCGCGCTGCCCCCGCTGCCCGCGCTGCCCGCCTGCCCGGCCGGTTGGCTTCTAACGAGGCAACCTAACGTCCCATCCTGGCCTGCCCGGCTGCCCGGCTCGCGGCCCGTGGTGTCCGGCCGACCCTCTCTTTTAACACCACTTTTATCTTGGCCTTTCATTTGTTTTTATTCCTTTCTTTGTCTCCCCGTTTTATCGTCTGGCCCGCTGTCTCGCCGTCTCGCTCGCACTCCTTCGGGCGCGGGCCGCAGTGCCGCACCGATGTTTATATATTTTTAATTCGCTTTATTTACATTGTTTCTGCCCGGACTGCTGGTCGGTCCCCGCGTCCCCTCGTCCTCGGACGGTGGGTGCCCCTTCCCTTATCATCCTCCTCTTTCCTCTCTCCCTCTCCTTCTGTCTTTCCCTCTTCGTTCCTTTTCCTCCCCGCTCGCGCGACACTGACAAATGGTGCGAGATTTCAATCGGTGAATGAGCGAGTAACCTCCAGCTTGTCTTTTGGACCCGTTCCTCCAGAGTGCGTGAGTGTGTGAGAGAGCGTGTGTGTGTGTGTGTGCTGGCCCTGTCAGCGCGGCATCACGGCGACGGCTAGGCCACACCGTGCGCTACCGCGTCCGCCGGGTTGCCCGCCGCACAGGCGATTGCGATTGCGATTAATGCCTGGACCACAAGTGATCGTCTGGCTGCGATTGCCCCGCGCGGGGCCTGGCAGTCCGGGGCCCCACTGCACTGCAATGCACTGCAATGCACTGCATTCACTTGCAGCCGTGCACTTGGCAATTGCCTGGAGTGGATAATCGAATTTCACACCGAGTGCAGCAGCAGGCCGTCTTGGTCCGTGCAGTCGGGAAATGCCCCCCCCCCCTCCCTCCTCCTCGCAGGGATACAATAATGCACTCGGGCTGCACACGGGGCCTGCCGGCCTGGCCTCTTGCTCGTTTTGCGTCCCCACGACCGGCCGGCCCGGCACAGCCCGGCACAGCCCGGCGCGGCGGGGACGTACTTGGCTCGTATTGTTCTCGGAGAGTTTAATTTTTGCTCAATCGCCTGTTTGGTTTGTGTTGCAGACTGGTCGGGGGCCGCCTCGGAGACGCGCACGCGACGCGCGGACGCAGCCCTGCCTGTGGAGGAGGACGACTTTTTAGCTGTTTGTGCAATAAGTTCGGACATTTTTTTGTGAACGTGCGTACACACCCACCAAGCTGCCCCAAGGAAGAGGACGCCCCCAGCGGGGCCCCACTCTCTGCGGACCTGACGGCCAAGAGGGGATGTTATAGATCAGTGTAGAAGACTGATGTGATATATTTTGATACTTACTAGCAGTGTCGGAGCTACGTCTGGCATATTGTGTCCTATCTCACTTACAATGAATAATAATCATCCTCTCTTATGTGAACGTGTTCCTTTAGTCATTCGTTAATTGTTGCATTTTTGTTGATTTGTTTTGTAAAGTCTCACTGAGTTTCCGAAGGTTGTCGCAAAGGCCCCCGTTTCGTGAGATGGAATGCTTAAAATTCATTCGATTCCTTGGCCTTGAGACTCTTATCTTCCTGAGTGCAAATAACCATTACACGCCACACTCGGCGATGGTAGCGTAGTTTGGTGTTCGGTGAAAATGCAGGTTGCAGTTTTGATAGACATTTAAAACTGCATTATACGGATCTTAACTTCTGGACGCTTATGATGTATACTATTGTAAAAGTGTGTACATTGTTGTGTATAAAGGTGCCGCATTTATTTATATCTGTGATAAAACAAAAGAATAAATTGTATCTTTCGTTGTAATATTTAGATATTTTAAAGGGCAGTTTACCATTGTCCGTGACCTCAGGACGTGCCCTATGCACTCTAACCAGGCAGAAATTGCTTGTGTTACGTTGCCACATTTATGATTTGTTGACTTTTTTTGTTGTGAAACGCACACCTGTGTTTAGCTCTATGTAGCGATGTCAAAATTAAAGCTAAGATTTACTGTTTTAGGCCACATGACTTTTGTCCTAATTCTACTTCAGTGGATAAATTTTTGATGTTGTTGTTGTGTGTTCCTTCAGCAAAACCAATAAAAAGCTTAATGCAGGACACCAGAACACTTGAAAGATAATTGTTTTAACGTTTTGACGGTGGTACAAATCACATTAAATTTGTTTTGTTTGAAATTGGTTGAAAGTCAGACTGTGCCAATAAAATAAGGTTTCCTCGCTACCAGTGCAAATCTTCCCGAAGCAAGTGAACTTCTATTGTAACCCTCTTGTTTCGTGTTCTAATCGTTTGAACGGTAACTGCAGTTCATGCCGCCATTGTTTTTGTTATTCGAATATCAAGGCAATCAAAGACAAAGATGTTAAGTTGCAAAGACGAACCTATGCCGTAACAGTGCTGTTTCTACGTGTACATTGAATGAGATTCCTGTGTAAATAATAGGTTTATGTGTGAATATAGACTTAATTATTGTCCTATTATTGTCTTTATGATCGTCCACTTTATTAAAATTCAAATTAAATTGAAATATATTTAAATCAAATGAAAGCTGCCGGTGTCCTCTTGAACTCTCAACCCCTCCCTGCAAATGGAACAATCGGCGTGCATTACAAACTGAAGGCATTGCTTATTCATCGGTCGAAGTGAATCGGGCCGAACATACGGTGTGGCGCCCCAATTGGATTCTCAAGTTCAAGTGACGGAGGCGAAAAGGCATCACTACACTCATTGTACGTAAATGAGCCACGCTAATTTGAGTCTCACGGCGAGTCGCTTCGGGAGTCGCCACCAAATTTCAGACCATTGAATGGAAGGGCGGTCTCATGGCGCGGGAGTGACCTCAGGGAAAGGCAGAGTGGGCAAACCGACGTCGTCAAACTAATGTACAGGCGAGGCCGTTTCCAGACAATTGTAAACAATCCGGATGAGTCAACGGGTCATAGCTAAGGAATCCAGGGCTTTATGGGTATCACGGGGAGGTATTAATTCTACATGTGTTGTGTCTTTTTATGGTCTCCATTCCGAGCCGTGAGTCACCGGGCGGGCTAGACTGTGGCGCCAGGCGCCGGTCGTCCGGGGCCCTTCGGTCTGACTGCCTTCCCAAACAGTCAGCAGCAACAGCCAGCGAATTGCAGGAGACTTGTTGATAGGACCGATTTCCGCACGCTGAGTGGGAGGCGACCAGCCGGGCAAGGCAACCCGTTCTATTGAATACATTAGCGGTGACTGAAATACTGCCGGCTGCTGCTTCGGATTCACGCTTATTATATCGGGATGCTCGGACCGGGCCGGGCGCGCCAAATACTGGAATTTGGCCTCAGCCGATTCGATTAGATTCCTGGCGGGGCACCGTTGCCTGGGTGCGCCGCTGTGCGCCGATTCGGAGGCCGGCGAGCATTCCTCGCGCAGAGCGTCGCTGTTTCTCGAACGGCGCAACGCGCTTCCGTGATGGATCACGCAGCGACGGCCAATCAGGGAAGCCTATCCACCACCTGGTCCTCGGCCTCGCGCACCGCGACCAAGGCAACGACGCGGACCAGCGAGCCGCCCTGCCGAACTGACCCGCCGGCCGGCCGGCCCACGAAAGCGCCTCGCCTCCCAGCAGGGCGGGCAATGCTGGCAATGCTGGCACGTGAAATGTGAAATACGACGACGCTGCGCCCGGACTTGTGCCACTGCCGCGCACTGCCGTGCCGGGAAAAAGGAGGGGGCGCAGATATGAGGTGTATGGGAATATATCATTTGCATATACGGTGGAGGGCCCCGCAAACGGCGCCGTAAAACGCTCCGCGAACTCTGCTTTGCCGCACACACACTGACACACACACACACACACACGTGGTGGTGGTGCCCTTAGCGGCGCATCCGAGTAGTAATGACAGCTTGGCTCTGCGACGCTCTGCGGCTCACAGCCGTGTGACCCACGCGGACTGAACAGGTGGGCCTGCACTGTATACCGTCTATATCCTCCTGTGTACCGATAGGATGGTGGCCACCTCAAGGCTGGCTGCCTGACTGACTGGCTGACAGTGGTCGCGTTCGTTTTCAGCTCTTCTCGAAAAAGCAAAGGGACATCCAGCGAGCTATCGCGTGCGTGTGCGTGTGTGCGTGCGCGCGTCGGGACGGGGTGGCACTCCATCGCACGACATCGCGGAGAGCGCGCGGCCTCCCTCATAGAGTGGCCTATATGCGCGGGAGTGAAGGGAAAAAACCTACACGCGGACAGACACACACACACACAGCGACACTCACAGACGCGCTCGATACGCGCGGCTAAAACCACGCCGGGGCACGCGAGGCGAAGCGACCGCGCACGATACAAACACGACAAACATGCGTGACAAAATTTGATAGCGCTCCAAAACGCGCGTCAATCAATCCGACCAATACTTCCAGCATTCCGTGGCACACGCGTGCGTACAAAGCAGCGTCACGCACGGCGCGGCACGGCACGGCACGGCACGGCACGGCGGGGTAGATAATGATAATGTACTCGGTGCTGACCCGCGAGTCCGACTCGGGGATTCGGACCGATTATTTCTGATCGGATCGACTTTCGCGTGACGTTACATCCGTGACAACACGAACTGGGCCACGGCAGGGGCGGAACCAGGGCGGAACGGCTGCAAACAGCGCAGTGCCGCCTAGGCGAGCCTGAGGAAGACGAAGCAGTGGCACATCAACCTGCTCAGCAAAGGTGACTTCGCGAAGCGCCCCATCGCCAAGGGCGGGCGGTTCCAACACACTGTCTGCGCGCCGAAACGGGGCGCCCCACGCCGCCATTCTCCACACACACTCGGAATCGGAGGGCGGGCGGGCTTTAGTGCGAGCCTAAGTGGCGTGAGACTGCACGCAGCCTCGCAGGCCTCGCCGGCCCCGCCACCCCCAGTGTGGGCCCCGACACGCCCCCGTGGAGTTCCGCCAGAGCGGCGTGGCGGCGTACAGCGTGGCGGCGTACAGCGTGGCGGCGCGCGAGGCCGGCGCGGCGGCAGCGTCATGTGGGGCTCCAGGGCCCAAATGACCGTGCGCGCGGTTTTTGCGAGCTTTATTTTCTTGCACAACTTTTTGTTTTGTTTTCGTCAAGCGCTCTCCTGCAGTGTTATTACCCAGCACATGCAACGTCGCGCTGCAGACCGCGGCCCCTGGGGCAGTACAGTGTGGAAGCCCAGGGCAGGCCCAGGGCCAGGCAGTGACGCCGACCAAGTGGCGACAAAAGCCCATGTCGGTTTATGGCATCCGCAAAGCCCGCCGACATGGGCCGACATGCCGGTCAAACAAGCCCCTCTGTCTACGAGTGTGTGTGTGTGTGTGTGTGTGTGTGTGTGTGTGACTGCGCGGTGCGATTGAGTGGGGTCAGGGCGGGGCGCGGTGTGCGACCGGCTGAAATAGACGTGCCAAAATGACCGTGCAATGATGAAATTTAAACGCCCCGCCCATTGTGCGGGCGGCGCTGGGACGACAGCGACACGATAATCATCGCCAGCAGCGGCGGCGGTGGCGGCGGCATTCATCGCTCCGTCCCTCTCGCACTCACGGGGTGCCCCGCCGCGGTGCGAGAGAGACAGAGCACTGGACAGCGCCATGAAGCACTGTTCGGAAGAGGAAAGGCTGGTAGTCGAAGTGGAGCCGCCCGTCGTCATTCACTCTCTCGTCTACTCGGATTTAGATGTTTCCAGTGCGGTGCCGCATCCCCCGTCGGGTGTTTCCAGTGTGGGAGGCGGCCCCTTTTTCGGGGGCGTTGCCGGGCGTTGCCGGGCGTTGCCGGGCGGGCGCTGCATTTGGGTGCGCGGGTGGGGCGGGGGAGTGGCCCGGAGTGGCGTGGCCTGTAGCCTGGACCAATTACCGGCCGAATTTAATTAATGAAAAGACGCGCGCCTGGGCCCCGCCGCCCCACCAGTAATGGAGGCGGTGTAGTGTGGGGCCGCGCCGCGCCGGGCCAGGCCGGGCCGTGGTGCCCAGTAGTCTGACAGAAGCCGATACTGTCAAGAAGAAACAATTAGAGCAGTTAAGTTGACTGGCGTCGGCAAGTGAGTCGGCAGAGGAAGAGGCCCCTCACTGCCCCTCACCGACCGAGAGCGGCAAGGGCGAGCAGCGGGAAGATTCCGCCTTTCGTCACTCCGTCTCTCTCGCACTCACGGCACGTCCCGTAAGGCTGCGAGAGAGACAGAGCGACGCCGGGGCAGCGAAAGGGCGCGAGCAGCGGCCAGCGCCGCCTTGCAGGACGTGGGAAAAGCCCCACACCCCCACGGAGGCCTCGGGGGCCGCGGGGGCCCACTTATCGAAGCAGCGAGTGAGCAGCGCCATTAAAATCCATTAAATTCCACAAACAAAAGACAAGGCTCATTTGAAATGCACATCGGAGGGCTTCAGCGGCAGGTTGACCCCTGTAGCCGACACTTCTCTCCCCCCCCCTCTTTTCCCCCCTCACTCTACGCCCCTCGCGGAGCCTCTCGCTACGTACCTCTCTCGCGGCCCATCGAGCAATGTGATGGGAGTGGCAATGCATGCTGGGATGAGCAAAACAGAATTAATTCAGGCAAGGCGAGACGGGCGTGGGTGATTTGGTAGTCTGGAACACACGAGGGTGGTCGGCCCACAGCCGCAGCCAGCTTACAGCCAGCCAGTTTATGGGGTTCGGCGGCGCGCGGATCGCGAAAAGGCGTCCGTTATAACCAGCTACCGTGCGTTTCGTGACTTCCAGGTCGGGGAGGTGGCTGGAGGCGGCGCGGCGGCCATCCAGTCCGCTGGAATACCCTGCTGGAGAACACACTGGAGTCCAGGTGGTGGTCCCGGGAGTTCTTAGACGCCAAGCAAGCCCGCCAAGCCCCGTGGAGTCATCGGCAAGCCTCCTAGAGCAGGCCAAGCCACTGTTTCGCTCCGAGGGCCCAGGCCCAGGCAGGACTCGGTGAATGGGGTTCAGGGGCTCCGGCGCGGCTCGGCACTGATTAAGGAAGGTGGAGGTGTGAAGGAGAGGGCCCGGACCCCTGAATATGCAAGGGTTCGCGGAACAGGGCGGGGCCCTCGGCGGGGCCCTTCCTGGGGCCCTGGGGCCCTTCCTGGGGCCTTGCGGCCCTACGGCCCTGCGGCCCCGGGCAGGGGCGACGGGCTGCGGATGCTTGCGGATGCTGCGGGACCGCACCTCATCCAGGGCGGCGGCAGATCCACCCGCGGGAGTGACACCAGTGCGGTTACCTTGACGCCGGCCCGCTGCCTGGCAAGCTTGGCGAGATATAAACTCCATTTGTCGCGCAGCACACCTAAAACCGAGTAGCAAATTCACCTCTAAAACATCCAATCCAATTTAGCAGCACTGCGCTGCACGCCAGCGCGGTCCACCCCCGCTGCTAGTGCTGCCTACAGTGCTGCGGACAGTGTCTGCCGGGGCTCATAACATGCAAATGCGGCGTCCAGTGTTGGCATCGTTTGTCAGGGGGGCCCAGCCGGGCCGGGTCCGGCGGCTGGACTTGCGGCCGGACTCGCTGGACTCGCTGGACTCCAGCCCCGAGCCGGCCGCGCCCTACTCGACGCGGACTGCCAGAGCGATGGCC